TCCCAAGTAGTCTTGTAATCACCTACAAGCTTTGCTAAAGTAAAACAGAAAGTTTTATTGAACTTTTTGATTAATCCATTTGTTTGGGGATGGTAAGCAGCAGTGAGACGATGGTGGGTGAACATGATTTCACATAGAGCATCAACAATTTTATTGCAAAAGGAACAGCCCTGATCAGATAGTAAAGTTTTAGGGCAATCGTGATGGCAAATAATGTCTTCATAAATAAACTATGCTATGGTAGGTGCTGGCATATCAGGAATCGCACAAGCCTCAGGCCATTTTGTTAGATATTCCATGGCTACTATAATATAACGATTTCTATTTTTTGTGATATCTTTGAAAGGTTCAATGATGTCTATTCCGATTCTGTCAAAAGGGGCTCCTACTTCAAGTGGATGTAATTTTTCATATAGTCATAGAGCTCCTTGTCATTGGCATATATTACAGGTTTGTACATATTCATAGATTGTTTTATATATTTGTTGCCAAAAGTACTTATCTTTTGCTCTATTATAGGTTGATTCTATACCGAAGTGTCTCGCCATAATATTAAAATGGAGTCCATACATAATTTTTTCTAATTCGTTCTCTTTAATTATGTGTAATAGGGTTCTCTTGCTAACTTTACTTTTACGATATAGAAGAGCTTCGGCGATAAAATAATGGGCAGCTTGTTTTTTAAATTTTTTCTGTTGCTTTTGATCCAAATTTGTCAGGACTTCAGCGGTTTTCAGGTATGTCTTGATTTGTTGGTATTGTTGTAAATCTATTTTAAAAAATTTTAATTAAAAAAATTTTTTTTTTTTTTTTTAATTATTGTTGCCAGGACATCGTAACCTGACAGATTTTCTTTGATTTTAATTTAAATAAAAATTTATTTTATTTTTTTTTTTTTAACTAATTACTAATCGTCTTTTCTTTTTCTTACAGAGGCTTGTGAGAAATTTTTGATAGAGCATCGACATTGGTATATATAAGACCTTTTCTGTAACGAATTGTGCATGGATATTCTGCGGCTATTATAATCCATCGTGCAAATCTACCGGTAGGTTGGGGGTTGTTTAAAAGCTACTTTAAGGCTTGATGATTGGTTACTAACTCAAATTCTTTACCGTATATATAGAGACGAAAGTATTATTAAGTGATTCTCCAAACTCTTTCCTATAGATCCTAATTCCATAAGTAAACAATAAAAACAAAACACGGTAAAAGAGTAAAAGACCTCACA